GGAGCTGGAGGACAATGGGGGGTTGGGGGGTTGCTGGCACCACATACGAGTGGGAAGAAGCTCGCCTGTCCCCAGATCACCCCTCGGTTATGGCACCTTCACCTTCCTCAGACCCATCCAGTTACTTGGAGGGGGTTTCTCAGTCCTTTTTAATCCCCGTGACAAGGACAGGAGATGAATCCCGCTCCGGCTGTGCCGGAAGGATTGCACAGACGCCAGAGAGCCCCTTCCCCCATGGCCCATCCCCACCAGATTTGGTGTTTTGAGGTTGGAAATCCCACCTGCAACCCAGCTGGGCAGTGTTGGGCCTTGGGAAGAGCATCCCCGACCCAGCACCCTCTGACCCGCTGCAGTACGAAACCAGAAAGTTTCTTGCCCAGCAGCTGCCATTTCTGCTCTCTTGGAGAATCACAGGATGGGTTCGGTTGGAGGAACCTTCAAAGCTCTGTCTCATGCAATGCCCCTGCCAGGGGCAGAACATCTTCCACTACATCAGATTGCTCAAATTCCAGCCCAGCCTGGCCTTGAACACTTCCAGTACCGAATCACAGAATGGGTTGGGTTGGAAAGGACGTTCAAAGATCAGCTCATCTGCTCCCCCTGGCCTGGACACAGGCATCTTCTGAGCATCCTTCGGGTTGTTCCCAGCCCCATCCAGCCTGGCCTTGAACACCTCCAGGGAGGGGGCAGCCACAGCTGTTCTGGGCAGCCTGGGCCAGGGCCTCAGCACCCTCAGAGTAAAGAATTTCTTCCTTCGGCCTAATCTAAACCTCCGCTCTTTCAGTCTAAAACCATCACCCTTGTCCTGTCACCCCATGCCCTTGCCACAAGCCCCCATCCAGCTCTCTCGCAGCCCCTCCAGGCCCTGGCAGCTGCTCTGAGGTCTCCCTGCAGCCTTCTCCTCCCCAGGGATGACGCTTTTGCTGACACAGACACATAAATTATTGCATCCCCAAAGCCTCAGTAATTAACGGGTGCTGAGAGATGGGAGCTTGCTCCAGCGCTGGGGGGGGGGTCATCTCCCAGGGGAGCTGGGGAGGGGGATGGTCCCTCCATCCTGCTCCTGCTCGCTCTCCCGAAGCCCCCTGAGCATTGCCCCGGGGTACACCAGCACCCCAGGGTGCAGCAGGCAGGGAGCCGTGCAGGCAGCACCCCTTGTCCCTGCAGTGCTTGGGGACACAGGCAGTGAACCCCCCCCGTACCCCAGCTGCCTCCCA